CGGGACAACCCACAACCTTCAGAGAGCAAGCTTTCTCTCTCACATGCAAACTCATGAATTTTCGTGTTATCCTTCCTCATTTTCCTTTATTTCCCCTGTTTTGGCAGATTGACAGAAGCTTTGACAGAGTCACTGTCAAGCTGCCGGAAACTGCGAAAGTCACTCAAAACTCTTCACCATCCTTCTCCCTCTTCATCAAACATCCTTAGAACCTCTCTCCCTCTCCATTAGAACCTCTGTACCTCATAGGAACCCACAGCTCTCTCTCCTAAAGTGCTAAACCCATGATAATTTTTGCTCTCATGCCATAAGTCACTCATGCCAAGCTAGAATATTTATCTGTAATTTGTTGTCATTTTCATCGGTGAAGGTAACCAAGAAGTTTCCTAAGGCGTCATCACCCTTTCGAGACATCCTTGGGGCTTGATCTTCGAACCCAGACACAAGGAGACACTTGCATCAGATTGCCCTTTACAGCAGCCCAGCCCACTTGCTGCTGGAAGAAAAAAAGCCCCTATAACTCTCCTTCTCTCTCGCAAAAATGATGAATGAATGAGTGAAGAGGATTTCAAATATCAAAGTAGATTTTAAAAACCATGTTTCAAAATCTCATAATGAAAACCCGGACTTCACAGAGAAGGAAGAAAAGCAGAGAAGAAAGGCTCTCAAAATTCTGATTTGTCTAAGATGATCTATGGATGTAAACTTAAAAAATAGATAGTTTGAATCGTTGAAAAAATAAAATAAAATCGTAGGGGACCCTAAAGGGTGTCCCTCAATAGAGGGAGTATATATATAGTCTTCTCCAATATTAAATAAACAAGGTTGCCTGAAATTTAGATCCCAGATTCCACAGCAAAGTGAGTTTTATATATATATATTATAAAGAAAAAGCATTGTTGGAGTGGAGATGGTGCATGCTTAATTTTAAATTAATGCTAATTAATAAATAAAAAACTTATACTAATTAAGAATATTGTCCTTTCTGGTGTCAAATAATAAGAAATTTCTTAATAATTAATGATGGTGGCTCGAGAGCATCGTTGAGGTTTAAAAACATAAGTTGCCAGTGAGGAGTACCAGATTTGCCTTGAATTTTTTTAGAGCTGATGGCCAAGATTGATGATGATAATAATACAACAAATACTAATATTTCATTCAAATTTGGGCTGCCCATCCTAAGACTTTTCATGGCCTCAGCAATATTGTATTTTATGTGCCAGATTTACGTATGGCCTCAACCTGACAACTCTGAAAAACTTCTCTACTAATAGATGGGAGCACATTGGTAAGCGCGAACCCCGATTTTCATTTGAAGCCCATATCTGGTATGAATCTGATCCATTTATGTCCAAATTCAAACACAATGAGGCCAGCCCCTTCGGTCAATTTGTCTAAGGCCAAAAATACTGTTACGAATCATGGTAGCATGAGTGAGTCGTACATGGACGCGTGACGCGAGCCAAATCCTTCATCATTGAAGGCTTTACGGTAGGCCACACAGATCAGTGTTTGTGATAGCGTTACATGCGCACAATTGATGCTACTAAGAATTGAAGTTATTCTGGGAAATGGGAATGATACTCAAAGTTTCAAACACATTAGGAGAGGCGATTCAGCTTCTACTGATAATTGTCCTTTTTTGTTCCCTAAAGCCTTTTTATCATACTTTTTTTTAGGGGGGGGGGGGGGGGGGGGAAAAAAAAATTGTTTTTTTTTTTTTTTTTTTTTTTTTTTTTATAAAAGAAAATTCGTTTATTTATTTTTTATTCCATTTTTGTTATCATCTTGGTTTTTTTCCCCTTATTGGGAAAATGAAACAAGCAGCAATCAAGAACTCAGTACAAGCTGGATCACCCGGCAGTAAAATACAACGAAAACAAACACACAAAAAGAATTACTCTTACCCCTTGGAACTTCGGACAAGAAATGGAAAACTGAATCAATCATCTTTTATGTCACTGCTACCCATTTTAAGAGGAAACATAATCTGTTGGGCCATAAGGCTCAAACAATTCAGCAAAGAGCCCCTTCTTTCTTTTCGGGTTCCATCCCATGTCCTTGCACAATTGATCATTGTACCATATATGTAGGGCACCGATGCATGATCTCCGGTAGTATTTGCCCGAATATCGCTTGGCGTATTCATCCCATTTTTTGACATCTTTCTCCATCTCCTTTATGCTTGGTAGCTTAAATGTGCCTCCAAGAAGCTCTGCTAGCCATCTGCATCTCATCTCAGATGTGTACAAGTTGGAAACACTCTCGGAGAATCCAATTACAGCTAGTTGTGGAATTCGTCCATGTATACATTCCCTGATTTGAATAAAGTCATATTGAGCTACCACAATTAAATGCCATATTCAATATAATTACCAAATAAAATTATACGTACCACATTTAGTAATCATATATCTCACACAAGTAAGACCTAGATGTGACCGAAATGGACTCGATAACTGGATGTTATCAGCAAATGTGGTACATAGACCGGTGCTTACCTGTAGAGGGGTAATGTTCCATCAGGTGATCCGACTATGTAGTCCTTAAAGGTGGGAGACACAAAGATGTCTTTGAGCTTTTTATCACCCCTATAACCCGTAGCCAATATGACCAAATCTGTCTTCACAGGGGAGCTTTCTCCTTCAACCAAAATGCCGCCTTGGCAAAAGCTGAAGCTGCTGGGAGACTTTTTCAGTATGATGCTTCCTTCTTGGACTCGGTCATAGAACTTCTCAGGAACTGTTGAGATCAGACAAGAACTGATTTCTTGGAGGAAACTATGCTTAGGTACCATTCCATACTTGGCTAAACCAAGCTTCTTAGTTATATAACTTTCCACAAATTTTGAAAATACCCATCTCTGTTTAATGATAAAAAAAAATTTACTAATAAACATCAGCTTTTAGGAATTGCTTATGATCAAGTTCATAGATAATTAAAAAGAAAAAAAGAAGTTTACCAGAGGTGAAAGAATTGTTGCCAGGAGACTGAGTAGGATGCCTTCTCCAGGCTTATGAACCAAAAGCTCCGAGAATCGATTAAGGTATAGGTATGCCAGGGGCACACCCCATGGAAGATAATCAGGGACATTCCAATGTTCTGTCTTGTATAAGACTGTGCATGGATGTTCAAGCCCTGCAAACCAGCTAATCAATTAAGAAAAGAAAAAGATGAAAGGTAATACAAACTACCATGAATAAAAATGATCAAAGTATTTTTGTGCAGATGCCATGTTGTTCAAATTCTCTCTAGCAGACTAACAACTCAATTTACCATTTGTGTTTGAACACTCCATTGCAATGTCCAATGCAGATTTCTGAAACCCAACAACTGTTACTTGCTTTCCTCTCACGAATCTGTGAGCGCTTTCGTAATCCATGGCAGCATAATCCACAGAGTGTATAACCTCTCCATCAAATACTTCTGGTCCTTTGTTGGAAGGGAATTCAGGAATGTTTGGGACATCACTGAATCGTCCGATGCAGAGGATCACAAAGTCCACCACGTAGATCTGCTTATCCATCCTCGATCAGCATGACATAAATATTGATAGTCTAATAACTTAACATAATAACATATAAACTCGATTTTATATATTATACTTGTACCTCGGTTGAAAGGCTTTGTTTGTCTTCTACTACAAATTTCCATTTCCCTTTGGAGCTGAAAGGCTCTCCAGAGCCACCCCACAAGCTCCAAGCTTGCATCTCATCCTCAGAGGAGCCTTCATACTCAATCCCACAAACTTTGGTGTTGAATTTGATATGCTTGAGCAAGTCAAAATGGTGAGCATATGATTGGATGTAATCCAAAACCTGATGTTGGTTAGGAAAGTCCTCTGTCACAGAAGATGGCCATGGGAAATCTGAGAATCGGTAAGCTTCTCTAGGAGTTTGGAGCTTGGTGGTCTCAATAGTTTTGGTCCAAACTCCTCCAATGGTGCTTGCAGATTCAAACACAATGGGCTGAAAGCCCTTTGAAAGTGTGTACTTGCAGGCAAGAAGGCCACTAGTTCCAGCTCCTATAATGGCCACTTTCTTTCCCATTCTGATCTAAGAAGTGTGTTTGCTGCTGCTATGATCAGTCTTTGTATGCTTATGTATATATAAGCATACACAATTACATGTTATATTCAATAATATATCATACATCCTGGTTCGGATATCTGCATGAGTTTCCTAGAGATTTCAGATAGGATTCGGATAAATATAAATAAATAAATAAAATTTCCTTGGAACTTGGTCTAACATCTTCAATGTGGATTATAATTTATATAAAGGGAGTGCATAAGCCACCATTCCCACCCTTATCCCTGCCACCCAGGCCACCATACAAGCCACCATTTCTCTGTCTTGTCTCTATCTCTCCTATCACAGATCTACCCCTACAACCATGAAATAAATAGGTGTCAATACAAATGCAAAATACAAATCAAACTGGTTCTCCAAATTGTTGAATGTATTTTTTCGGTAAATTGATTATATTGATAAGGGGCGATGAGTCATGTTTATTGAAAGGATATTCCATTTTGATCTTCCATATAACACTTTTTCATGTACTTTGAAGGTTATGGGTAATTTTCGCGGATTTTTACTTTATTTTTTATTTAAACAATAAAAGACTTGTTAACTTTAAACACTTCTTTTTATGAAAAAAGAAAAAAAAGAAAAAAGAATTTAATACTTATGTTTTTGATGTGTCATGTTTTCAACGGATAAATTAATAGAAAGGTTCAGATATTACAAAATGCGAATAAATGCACAATCTCTACATAATGTGCTCCCAAAAAGAAAAAATCATATCATAAAGTTTTTAATGGATCCAACTATTCACACATGCATTTCTGTGCTTACTTGTTTTATTCTCATCAAATCATATAAGTCTTTTGACTTGAGATCTTATTATGATGCGACATAAATTTTTTTGTTTTTTTGGTTTTCAATTGAAAAAGGGGGTAAACGCCAAAGAACAACAAAACAAGATGGGACATATAATTTGATATGCATGAGATGAATATTAGGTCTTGTCCTAGTCCAAAAATTCAAAAAGGTTAGCTGGAATTAAAAAAGTGGAAGTAAACTTGGGAAGATGGTTGGTTAATTAACCTTTGGTATGCTCGATTTTCCAAACCCAACATTAAATTCGACTATGAAAAAATATTTGTTCAATTAACCAATTTTTTTAACTATATAATATACGAGAAGAAAAAATGAACTCGAATGTAAAGAACGAACACTATCTTTACCAACTTTCTTCATTAAATTTGCAGTTCACTAATGTTTTTATGTCACCTGAAAAGATTCGGATGAGATTGTACTTTGCTTTACATATCTGGCCTTGCAAAAAAAAAAAAAATTTGTCATATGTTGTTGACTATGCTGTACATGCTTATATTGGTATTCTCTTAAAAAAAATTTAAACTAATTAAGAAATATTATCCTTTTTGGGGGTCAAATACTAAGAAAATGATGATGATGGTTCGTTCGTGTCCACCATTCAGATTCGGAAAAACATAACATGGTAGACAGGCTCACCAAATTTGATGTAGATTTTTTAGGCTGGATATTCAAAGATTGATGATGATCATAATAATACCAAAAACAGTAATGGCTTCGGTCAAAATGGACGGCCCGATGGAATTTAATTTCGTCTGCCAGACATACACGCGGGGAAAGTGGGGAAAGCCTGTTTTTAAAAGCCTAGAGCTACTGTTAATCTTCATCCTTTTTGTACAATGGGGCTGGCCCATTAAGTCAATTTCTCTAATACCCGACAGATTATCCATGAAGTTAATTTCTAACTTTTATTTGTTAGCTTAATTTACTGTATATTTCACAACCACCCGCCCAACTGTTCGTGGGGCCTTCAGTAGATGGCTCGAGGAGGCTGGGTTCAAGTAGAGAGAGTCGTTCTATGTTTAATGTCGTGATATATGGACCTTACATGTGTACCGGCAGCCCTCAGTATAGAATTTCACTGAGAAGGGCGGAAAAGCTATAATAAGGGCTTAAAGTGAGGAGGTTATTTGAGGAGGTCAAATCTCACCATCAACAAATGTAAAGAAATCACGGAACTTAAATATTTTAAATGTTTTGACGGTCGGATCGGTCTCCTCAAATAACCTCCTCATTATAGAAGCTCCCCTGAGAAGGGATGACAAAGAGGCATGAACCTGGAATGGGTCCCTGAGAGACATTCTTCACTTTTCTTGGGCTTGCATAAAATCTCCATACATCCTTTTATTTTTTATTTTTTATGTTATGTTATGTTATGTTTTCTCATAACTTCACTATTAGTCACATGATCAATTATCATAATATCATAATAAGGAAGTTGAGGACGTAAAGTAAACCTAGGCTTAGTGCCAGTTTGGCATTGGGTGATAAGTGATTTTTTACAAATTTTGGGAAGCCTAGCCTGTTTTGTAAATTATGAGAAAATCACTTATTGTTAAAAATTGCTGTGAGAGAAAACTATAAGGAAAAACAACTAATGAGGTGTTTTCATTTTTTGATTATGTAGGAATCAATTTCGAAGAGGCGCTGAGTTTAATAATTATGCAGGAATTATTTCCTGATTATGCGGGAAATAGTACCAACAAAACTTTTAACAAAAAATTTACCACATGCCAAACTGCTTTATCTCACAGCTAATTTCTCCCACAGCAAATCTGACAGTGATTATTTTCACAGCACAGCAATGCCAAACTGGCCCTTAGTAATAGTAGTCTACATGTTGCTGTTTTTTGACAGAATCCTAAGGGCTCTTTAGTCTTTTGAAATTTGGCCAGTTGTCATTGTATGACTGGTTATGTTAAGAGATATGTCTATTGGGTAAAGGTTGAACAGGGTTTTAAATTTTAATACTTTTACGTAATATATGGGAAATTTCATGACGTATTATCATCGTTTACTGTAATAAACTTTGCAAACTCATGAAGCTCCCAATGTTTGAGGAATTATTTGAAACCCTAGAGTCAGATTCAAGTTTCAACAAGATATATGAGTCTAAATATTTGTTTTTGGCTTTTCCAATTAGACAATTTCATTGCTGCATATTCAAGAATAACATCTGAACAAGATGAAGAAAAAATAATCTCAGTTTTTCTTCTCTTTAAATTTGATGAGAATGCCATCCCTAAATCCTAACATGGGATTTCGAGCAATGCGTGCCCCTTTGATTGTTGTCCACCTATTAACAGAAATTGAAAACAATGGTTGTTAAGATCTGTCAAGAACTGCAGATACAATTTTTGTAACTTGAGATCCAAATGAGATAAAACAAGAGGGCAAACAAATGTATTAAGTTTCTGATGTGGAATTGTGTGTATTCTTCAACACTCCATCTCATGTGGAATCACTTTTTAGTAGGCCACACGTGCAACCAATTTCACATCGGTCACTTATATATATATATATTATTTTATTTTAATTTGGGGTTTTATTTGATTTGGATTAAATCGGGCCAAATCAACCGGCTCGCTTTGATACTATGTTAAGATTTCAGAGAAACGAACACTTGGTCCACCACTAGCAAAATCGATATTGTCCTCAACTTAATCACCTGTTTAGCAAGTGTAGGGTTTTATACAAAAGACCTCAACTTTATTAGGAGTGGAGCCATTTATTATATGAGACTTTCTATTTTCAACTTTCTAATGTGAGGCTTTTTACCTTCACATTCTCACACGCTCCTGCACGTGTGATGAATTTTCAAGCCTATTAAGTGGACAACACATATTGAGTGACGTGGAGCATGTGTGACCGTTAGGCTTTCACATGTGGACTCACCTAACTCTGATATCATGAAGGAAGTTGAGGTTCCCCCTATTGCCAATTAGGTTCCCGCCATGGTATCGGAAAATTCACCCTTCATTTGAACTTCATCTCATCGATTTGTTTGTTGGTTGAGAAATTTTTCATCATTTGTAGAGCATTGGACTGAGAGATCTTCCATCTTTGTTAAAGAAGAGAGAAATCAAACCTAGGACCTTTGGAGTAAATACTCGTATTCAAACAAATGAATATGAACAAAATATATTGGTCCAATCCAAGGTATTTTTATTAAAAAAATTTACAAATTTTATGAGTTATATTAATACTTTCATATTGTGGATTCCTTAATATGCATTGGCAGTTTAAAAAGGTAAACTTAAAATTTGTTATTTATTATATCAAAAGAAACAAGGAGGCTGAATCCCCAAACAACCAGATAGAACAACTCATTTAGAACAACTCATGTAGTGAATATTTGATATATGGGAGGCCTTTTTAGTGCACAACCCTCAATTATTCCAACTTAATTATATAGATTTTTCTGTTTTTGGGCTAATTCATAACTTAATTGCACGTTATTTTTAATTATAGGTACATCTAGACAAGTGCTCGATCATTTCCCATAAACAGAATTTGAAAGTACCTCAGTTTTTCTTCTCCGAGAGCTTAATGTGAATGCTTGCCCCAAATCCTAACACATGCTTTCGAGTAATGCATCCTGCTTTGATCGTTTTCCAGCTATGAACAAAAAAGTTAAAATCCAAAAGATGATTAAGCTCTGTCAAAAACCTTGTAGGCACACAGTATATTTGTAACTTGTGGTGAGAAAATGAGATAAAAAATAAGAGGGGAATGGTGAAATGTACGTACCTATATTTGGTGACCAAGACATGGAGAAAGGTGGCCAAGAACACCCTAGTATACTCTGCCCCTGCACATTGTCTCGATCCTCGACCAAACGACATGAAGTTCTTCGATATAACAAGGGAGTCAAGGTCCTAATTTCCATAAAATATTTACACATATGTGTGTATAAACAAAATTAGCTTATTTTTGGAAAAATGGCAATATTACTCTTGTTGATGCTCTTTTTCGGAGAGGGTCAACTTAGAGATAGGGGGTTGTCCTTAGCAAGAGAAGGGCCTGGGCCTTCGGTAGAGGGCTAGCCTGCAGAAGACAAAGATAGGAAAAGCAATCGTTAAGCTTCGGACACCGGTGTGGTGCCGGCCGAAGGCTCTCCGATGCCTGAGTCAGCTAGGGGTAGTGACTATTGCAAAGTAACA